CCCCAAGTCTTTCATAGTAAAAGATTTTGCTCAATTGTTTCTTCAGCTGAATAATTCTCTCTGCATTCTTGCCAACAATCAACATATCATCAACATAAAGCAATAAAATGATGAAATCATCATCACCAAACCTCTGGAAGAAAACACATTGATCTGAAGTAGTCTTGTGGTAGCCTTGCTCACCCATGACTGACTCAAATTTCTTGTACCACTGTCTTGGTGCTTGCTTCAACCCATAAAGACTTTTTTGAAGCCTACACACATAGTCTTCTTTGCCTTTAACATGAAAACCTTCAGCTTGCTCCATATAGATTTCCTTGTCCAAGTCACCATGAAGGAAAGTTGTCTTGACATCCATTTGCTCAACCTCAAGATCATGGCTAGCAGCCAAACCAAGAATCACCCGAATGGAACCCATCTTCACGACCGGAGAGAAAATCTCATCAAAATCAATACCCTTTCTTTGACTGAACCCTTTGACCACCAATATATCCTTGTACCAAGGCCGTGAGGTATGTTCTTCAGTCTTCACTATGTAGACCCACTTTTTCTTCAAAGCTCTTTTGCCTTTAGGCAACTTCACCAACTCAAAGGTATTGTTTTCATGCAAGGAATTCATCTCATATCGCATAGCTTCAACCCACTCTCTTTTATGCTCATCTTCCATAGCTTCTGCATAACAATCAAGTTCTCCCCCATCAATGATTAAAACATACTCATCAGCAGAATAACAGGTGGAAGGATGATGATCTCTTGTAGACCGCCTAAGTGGGACAAATGGTGGTATATTAGGTACTGGCAACTCTGGATGAAGATCCTCATCCAACTCCGACTGCTTTGGAACATCATTATCATCAGTACCATGTTGTTCATCATTTTGAACATCTTCATTAATTGGCTCAAAATGTTGAGGGGGAACCGGATCCAAATCAACACGATCATCAGTAGATTGAGGAACTATCTTTGTCTTCTCAATATCTTTTAAACTCTGATTTTTAACAAATACAACATCACGACTCCTTACGAGTTTCTTCAGAACTGGATCATATAACCTGTAAACGAATTCATCGTGGCCATAACCAAGGAATATACACGTCTTGGTCTTCACTTCAAGCTTTGATCTTTCATCTTTGGGAATATGCACAAAAGGCTTGCATCCAAAGACCCGTAAATGACGATACGGAACATCTTTTCCACTCCAAACCCTGTTAGGAACATCAAAGGACAAAGGAACACAAGGAGTAAGGTTAATAACATGTACCACTGTATTCAAAGCTTCTCCCCAAAAAGAATCAGACAATCCTGCATGTGAAAGCAAACATCTAACTCTTTCACCCAATGTTCTATTCATCCGTTCTGCTAAACCGTTCAACTGTGGTGTCTTTGGAGGAGTCTTTTGGTGCCGAATACCTTGCTCTCTACAATAAGCATCAAAAGGACCAATGTATTCACTGCCATTATCTGTGCAAACACACTTCAATTTCTTCCCAGTTTGTCTCTCAACCAAGGCATGAAACTTCTTAAACACATCCAGTACTTGATCTTTAGTCTTCAAAGTATAAACCCATACCTTCCTTGAATAGTCATCGATGAATGTGACAAAATAGAAGCAACCCCCAAGTGTCCTAGTCTTCATGGGACCACATACATCAGAATGTACCAGATCAAGTATATTCTCATTCCTGGAAGGAGGATGGCTCTTAAAGGAAACTCTATTTTGCTTACCTGGCAGACAATGAGAGCATCTCTTCAAATTCACATCATGCACACTGGTTAACACATTTTTCTTCAACAATAAAGACATCCTTTTCACTCATGTGACCAAGTCTCATATGCCACAAATCGGTCATGTCACAATGTATTGATGCATGGATCGATTCTTTGGAGATCTTCGGATGTGTCATGCATAACTTTGAGCTTCTTTCACCTTTACCACGATCAAAGAACCACGAGTGAGTTTCCAAATGCCACCACCAAAGGTACTATGGTAACCGTCATCATCAAGTAAGCCAACAGAGATCAAACTAAGTCTAATATCTAGAACATGTTTTACATTGTGTAAAACCAACTCCATCCCAGTCTCAAACTTCAAAAAAATATCTCTGACACCAACAATCTTTGATAACCCATTATTACCCATCTTAACATTCCTAAAATCACCAGGAGTGTAAGATGTGTAAAAATCCCTTTGTGATGTCACATGACAAGTAACACCACTGTCAACAACCCAACTCAAATCATCATGTGTAGGATTAACCATATCATAATCACAACAAATAAAGAAGTCTTCGGTAGTAGTGTTAACTTCAACAATATCATGACCACTATCATCTTTCTTGTGGTTGTTCTTTTGATTGTTGTAATTTGCCTTATTGTTCTCCCTTTTCAAATGTCTGCTGAATCGTATTGTGTGCCATTTTCTACCACAATGATTGCACTTATAGTCAGCAAACTTTCCTTTAGATTTACTGCGATGCTTCCCTTTGTTATTCAGACCTCTACTTTGACTTCTCCCCCTGCTTTCTATGACCAAGACATCTGAATGTGAAGAGGAACCTTGTGACTTTCTTCTCATCTCTTCATTTAAAACACCGCCTTTAGCTAATTCCATGGTGATAATACCATATGGTGCAGAGTTAGACAAGGATGTCCTAAAAATTTCCCAAGAATCTGGTAAGTGCCAAGGAGCCATAAACCTTGTAACTCATCCTCAAACTTGATACCCATTCCTGCAAGCTGATTAATAATTCCTGCAAGCTGATT